CTATGATGTCAGCGGCGCTGACAATGACCACTGAGGCAGACTCCTAAATGCATTAATGACTGAAGCAAGATGTGGTTCAGCATGAGGAGTGGGACGCAGAGTTCGCATCCCTGGTGCCTATCATGCTGGCATCCTGTTCTCATTTGGAACACAGCAGTGAAAGCAGAAGGGAGGAATCTGTCTCTGCACTTGCAAAGTCAGTGACCATGGTTCCCTCCACGTGGAAGCCAGTCTGTGGCTGGCCTTTCAGGTTCTCTTAAATCTCCAAAGCTAAGAATTAGCTACTTTTCTTGGAAGAATCTTGTGAATTTTCTGTTATAAGAGGCAGGCAGATCTCTGTGAGTTCGAAATCAGCTTGGTCTACAGAGCAAGTTCCAGGACAGCCTCCAAAATAATACATAGAAACCCTGTCTTGAAAAACAAAATAAATAAATAAATAAAAAACCATTAAAAATTACATAGAATTTGAAGAAGTTATGCAATTTAAGCCTCACATGCTCTCAGATTTACAGTTATAACTGTTTTCTATGCTGACATTTTTTACATGTTGAAAAGAATAATTCATCATTTTTTTAAACCAGTGTCACTACTGAGCCTTTGGATGATTAACTACTCTGTGTATTTCTTTCATCCAAACTGGCTTATAAAAGAAAGCAAAAATGACAATAAAAGAAATGTACCAATTTATTCCCTACTAATAAAGTATTGAACATTAGGGGGAAAGTGTGAAATATTGGAATGCAACATAGAGCAATTCCATTACCCACTGCAGTTTTGGGTCATATACTGTGTATAAAGAGTAATTACTTCATTGGCCAGAGACCACAGTGAAGGGATATAGAATCTGATGAAAGAGATTTTGCAATAAAGATTTTACCCCAATGTATTTGCTTCCCCAAACTTTACCAACCTTAAGGCAAGCACATCTTATTTTCTCTTCTGATGGCGGGGTATGGGAGTGGCAACAGACTTCAAGTACTAGAGAAACAAAGACAATTGTGTGAGCCAAGTCAATTTTGAAGAATCTTATTAAAAATTATACATCAATATTTGAACTGTTCAAAATTGCCCTTTTGAATGGTTTCAATGAAACATCCTGTTGCTGAGGATCCTACTTTGTAGCATGTTGTTTTCATTAATCCTGGTGGTTCCTAACACATCTTCACTTCTGACCCTTCAATGAAATTTCTGGATTTCATTTATTTGCTGAAGAATTTAACTGCATGGTGAGCCTCAAGTCTAGGCTATGAAATATACAAGTAAATATTTTCCTGTCCCCATCTTGCTTATCCTACTGAAGTTTTGGAGAGGAGCTGAAGTCTTCCAAACAGGATAAGAAACATAACACATACTCTGGAGAGAAGAGACTGAACTTGGCCAGCTCAAGCCCCAGTTCAAGCCCTATCAGTTCTCTCTGAGCCTTGGTTTCTAATGAGCAATGGAGAAAAATATACTATAGTATGGCTGTGGGGACTGAATTAGGTATATGAGAAGCATTTTATAGTACTCAGTGAACAGTATTTGCATATTTTTTCAAAATTACTTAAAGCTTATTAAAGTCCAAAATATAGAAAAGCTAAAGTAAAATTATGCCCTGTAATTAGTTTAACTTTCTTCAATGTTGGGGGGGAGGGGTTCTAAATATAAAATGTTACTTTCATTGAAAGAAATTAGAAATTATATATAATATTCATTTTCCAATTATTTGAAATAGATCAATTATTTCATCATTAAAAACTACATGTTTTCTGATTTCCAAATAGTCCTATATAATACTTTAATGATTTTTTGTTAAACTTATAAAGAAAACTGCAACAGAAATATTTTTATGGGTGCTTATTGGGTGAGTCTATTGGGAATTTCATCCCATCACTTGCAATATTTGCTATTTTTTCCTCAGCCTTTAAAAAAATCTTTTTGGTAGTGCTGTAGCTCAAGGCCAAGGATTCACACATGCTTAGCACACATTGGTCTTGCTGTAGCCCAAGGCCAGGGATTCACACATGCTTAGCACACATTATAGTACTGGCTAGAGCCCAGTTTCAAATTTATGGTGACTTTTGATATAGTCTTTAATTTTTTTTTGTTTTTACTAGACAGGGTTTCTCTGGATTGTTTTGGAGGTTGTCTGTCCAGCCTGGCCTCGAACTCACAGAGATCTACCTGCCTCTGCCTCCCGAGTGCTGGGATTAAAGGCGTGTGCCACCACTGCCCAGCTTATAGTCTTTAATTTTATGAAATCACTGTTATCAAGTTTTTTCTTGATAACAGTGGCCTTCTTTTTTAATGCTTGGTTTTAGAAAGCTCTTTCCTATCAATGGAAGTAAATATTGTCTTTTAATCATTCATTTATAGTTTTAAAAAACTAGTTTGGAATGTCTTTGGAGCTATTTGATGTGCAGATTGATGTAGACTTGTATGTACTACCTAATAGAGCTGAGAGTTCATCTAAGGTAGGGTTTAGAATAATTTTCACTAAGTATTATAGACAACTAAATTGCTCATTCACAACTATCTTCTATATGAGCCCTCCCTCTTTTTTTTTTTTTTTGAGATATGATCTCATGTAACTCAAGTTGGCCTTTAACTCTTGGTCATCTTGTGTTCACTTCCTGACTTCAGGAATTGTAGGCATGCACCCAGCATGATGCCTTATTATACATCATTCTCTCAATATCTGTGTCTCGTTTTAATTATCTTCCCTACAAAATGCTTTCTCATTATTTTTCCCATTTATAGAAATGTCTTGATTATAGTTACACACATCTTTATCTTCCAAGAAATACTTTCAGGTTCTGTCTACTCCAAACATAAGTTGTTGAAATTGCAATAAATCTGTACATTCAACCACCTAATATTCTACATAATAATATAGACATGTTTCTACATTTTCATAATTTTTGAGGTTATGCCAAAGTGCTTTATTATGTTGTGAAAGAACACAGCACTGAGCAGGGACCTTGTTCTCAGTGGACTTTTCACTTTACAAACAGCCACTTGAATTTGCTTATTTTTCTTTCTTTGGTGCTGGAGATAGAACCCAGGAATGTGCTTATGTTAAGTGAGCAGTCTACCATGGACACACATCCCAGGCCTGCAGGGCTTTGTTTTTGTTTTTCTACACACAGAATAAATAATTTATAAGAGTTCTTTGCTTCAAAAACATAATAGAATTTAACTGGTACTTAGGAGAGAACACTAAGGGTCAGCCCAACTTTGCAGTTATTAAAACAACTGGAAAGAGCCACTGGTTATTCACTTTATCTAAAATGTACAATTACTTAAGATTACATGGGTGAAATTAGTATTTTGTCTGGCAAAATGAAAAAGGAGAAAACATAAGAAATTGATGCATCTAGGTCTGTCTAGGCAAGTGAAGGATGACTTTTGAATACGATAGAGAATGCTGGGTATCTAATTATTTCCCATATTATAGGGTTTAGAGTATCCCTCATTTACCTCTCTTAACAATCTTTTTTGACATTAGATGGTCAATATAAAAGATTTCTCCTACTGAAATTAAATTTAAAGTAAAAACTGATTGGTATCCACAGTTGAGATCCAGTTACAAAACTGCCGTTAATGGCATTGGTCCCAGAGTCCTGTGCCGTCCTTGGAGGAAGCCCTTGCACCTGTGACTCACTTGTCCTTGGTTTCTAGGTGACAGAATGGCAGCCCTGGCCAAGTGTTCACAGTGCAGTCTTTGGACTCTTCTAAAATGAAAGTCAATATGTAAATGTGCAACATGACATTATTATCCTAGTTCCCTGGCTGCTTTTAGCAAGCACTAACTGCCACATGAGGTCTCAAGTGTTCTGGCATACTATGCAAGTGTTCAAAAGAAGTTAAAGTAATGAAATTGGATCTACATTTCCATAGACATTCAAGCTGGCATGGAGAAATGGAGTCATGGAATCAGGGTTGGACGGTCTCCACCAAACAACCTAGGCAAGTGTCTGTGATGCCAGGCTACTGAGCTGAATTCCATCGTGAAAGGCCACCACTATTTCTTTCTCTGGGTCTAAAATTACAAACTATGCACATTTCTCTAGGTTCACACCATGAACAGGGTGCTTATACTTAATCTCCTCCCACCCTTTCCCTGGTATACAAGAATTGCTTAAGATTCAAATTGAAGTATGTACAAAAAAGGAAGTGTTAAAACTGGCTACTAGATATGGGACTGTAGACTATCTGAGCATTGTTCAGAAGATCAATGTGTATCTGATCTAGGAGTGTCCAGTTAATGCATCTCAGTATGAGTCATTTTTTTTTAACCAGTTGTTATTATTTCCATGTATTCTTGTTTGTGCTCGGTATTTTCTGCCATTGAAGTATTTGTTTGGTAAAGTCTAGCAATAAGTTCAGTGGTAGGGTTCTTTACAAAGCCCTTGGATCAATAGAAAATATAAAAGAAACTAAAAATTATCCAATAAAATATGCAGAGAGCCAACTAAGGTAGTGGGATCAAGACACTAGGTTTGAAGCCGAGCTGTAGTTCAGTCACTAGAGTGCTTGCCTAGCATGCACGAAGCCCTGGGCTTGGTCTCCAGCATCTCAAACTGAGTGTGTTGCGACAGAATATGCCTGTAGTCCTAGCACTCAGGAGAGGGTCAAGGATCAAGACCCTGGACTACATGAGATCATGTCTCAAAGAGAGGGCATTGGTGAGGAGGGGAGAGACTGGGTTTGCCAGGTGGGTTTTGCATCAGGTTTGGCAAGTCTTCCTTTCATATCTGCATACCACCCATAGCTTTGCCTCCTTGATCCTATTCATCAGCATAAGGGCAATAGAATTCAAGTGTCCTGAATTGCAGCCATCTGGTACATTTTTCCTGTCATCTTTCCTGAGGTTTTTATGGGTTCCAAATATCCATTTGCATAAACATAGAGATGAAGATTGCTTAATATTAAAAATGCAGGAGAGGGACAGTCCAAAGAATCAAACAAGAACCAATGTATATCTTTTACTCATTCAGAATTTTTTTATTGCATTTTAGGATGGTGAAAAAAAAGGATTTATAAATAAAATCTATGCCATCCAAGAAGTCTGCATCAGTGTCCAGAACATCCTAGATGAAGTGGCTTCCTTTGGAGAAAGGATAAAGAAGTAAGTAATGCTGACATGTGACCCCCTGGCCTTTTCTAGGACAGTCTATTTGACTCAGAGTAACAGAACATGTTCTGTCTGGCACAAGTCACTCTTGAGTAATCTATTCTTCAGTTCCCTCACAATATATTTTGTTTTTGTGAGTCCTTGGTTTTATGATGGTTCTGTCAATTTCCTGCCTGAAGTTTAGAACATATTGGTTAGAAAAAAGAAGTCATAATTGTAGCTTTGAAGAAATAACACTGTCCTACATTTTAGCATATTCTAACCTATTTAGCATAATCTAACCTAATACATTTTAGGTAATCAAGATAGGTCTAATTATATTTTTTCGAAGTTTAGTTTTATCAAGACATAGGACACATTTCATCACTTAGAAAAAATCACAGATTTTTTCAATTATAAAAGAATTCCTTTAATTAAAAGTTTTTAGATTTATTTAAGTGTTGACCTTCATGTATGTATGTGTACCACACGTGCCTGGTGCCCAAGGATGTTCCAGGAGAGCAATGGATCTCCTAGGACTGCATTTGCATGTAGTTGTGAGCAATTATGTAGTTGCTGAGAATTGAAACTGGCCCTCTGCAAGGACAGATGCTCTTCATCACTAAGAAAATGATCCTGCCCCATTTATATTGGTTTGTTTGGTTTTGTATTATGTTTGTGAGTTTGTTTTTATTTTTGAGACTGTTTGGCTCTGGCTAACCTGGAACTTACAGAGATCTACTTGACACTGTCTCCCAAGTGCTAGGATCAGAGCTGTGTGCTACCGCACCCACCTTTGATGAAGGAATACATTTTGTTGAGATATAACGTACACTTTAGGAACACACACCAACTTTTTGTTTTGTTTTGTTTTTTTGTTTTTACGAGACAGGGTTTCTCTGTATTGTTTTGGAGGCTGTCGGTCCAGCCCTGCCTTGAACTCACAGCGATCCGCCTGCCTCTGCCTCCCGAGTGCTGGGATTAAAGGCGTGTGCCACTACCGCCCGGCTCCAACTTTTTTTTTTTAAGACAGAGTCTCATTATGTAGCTCTGGCTGATTGGCTGTTCTGGAATTTACTATGTAGACCAGGATAGCCTTAAACTTACAGAGATTCACTTTCCTTTTTCCTAGTGCTGGGATTAAAAGCATGTGCTATTTTGCCTAGCTGGAATTTGTATTCTTATTCTTATATGGTGTTATTATAAATAATTTTATTTACTAATACATTTTGTTTACTTGTTTTCTTTTGGGACAGTGTCTCATGTATCCCAGGCTGGCCTTGAACTTAGTATGTAGCCAAGGATGAGCTTGGAGCCCTGGTTTTTCTGAGCCTCTACCTCAAGAAAGTCTGAGTTTGAGTTTATCCTGGGCTACATATTGAGAAACTGTCTCAACAAAATCTATTCTTTAAAAATCCTGGCTCCCACCCATACCTAAACACTGAACTAAACTCTTGGAATCCAGAGACAGAGAGGGAGGAGCGATGAGCAAAGGGGTCAAACTGGACTGGTGAAACCCAGAGAAACAGCACACCTGATAAGGGGGAGCTCTTGGACCCTATATTGATGACTGAGAGGTCAGCATGGGACTGATTCAGACCCCCTGAATGTGGGTGTCAGTGAGGAGGCCTAGGCAATCTATGGGGCCTTGGGTAGTAGATCAGTATTTATCCCTGGCATACAAATGGACTTTGGGTGCCCATCCCACAATGAGGGATCCTCTCTCAGCCTGGACTCTTGGTGGAGGGTCTAGGCCCTGCCCTGAACCAAATGACAGACTATGGACACCCCCTATGAAAGACCTCACCCTCCCTGGGGAATGGAATGGAGATTGTGTGTGTGGGTGGAATAGGAACTTTGGTGGGGGTAATGGGAGAGGAGGGGGAGGGAGAGGGAGCTGTGACTGACATGTAAAGCAAGCTTGTTTCTAATTTAAATTAAAAAAAAAAATCCTGGCTCCAAGGGTTACTGAAAAACAGGGTAACCAGATTGATCTGTTGGGTCTCCTATTACAAACAATAACTTTAGGAGAGTTATCTAGACAGACAGCAATGTAGTGCTGGGATCAGTCATGTGCCACCATACTTGGTTACTAATATCCTTTCTGAAATCAAGAGTGGATTGATAGTAACTGAGGCCTCACACTAGCCAGCCATTTATGACTGACCTGTAGCAATTATCAATAACTATTTAAGAAAGGCTGCTCTATATCTGGACACACCTGTACTTTCTGAATTTCATATCTACTCTTGATTTATTACTCATGACCAATTGTTGTAATTTAAGAAAAGCAACACATGAGAGAAAGATGCCATGAGACAGGGTTCAAGCAGAGGGTTTTTTTTTTAATTAAGGGAAAGGGATCATAAAATCATAAAAAGGAGGAAAGGAGAGGGGGAGACGGACCTCCTGAGACCGGAATGTAGGAAGGAGGGAAGAGGGGGAGAGAGAGAGGAAAGAGAGAGAGAGCAGAACAGAGAGAGGACACACACAGAACTTAAAAGGAACAAATTACTTAAACTCAAAGTATGAGTCATCATAGAGTACTGTTTGTGCTGCACGGGATAATATGTTTTATTTTGTATATTTTTAATTTAATACATTTCCACATATACATCAATGCTGATTTTCAGCTTTTATGTGTAGTACACAAACCAGCTCCTTTTCACCCCTAAATGCAGTTGTCTCAAAATCCTAAAGACTAAGTCAGATCCTTCTCTCTCTTTGTCTGTCCTTTTAATAAGCTTCCCTTGCCCCAAGGCCTAGCCTAGAGCATAGCCTGCAACTCTAAATTTAGGGCCTAACTTACTAAACATTATGTCACAATGTATGCCGACTCCTGTGAATGCCTCATCCACACTAGAATATGCTAGCTTCTAGTTCTCTTCACTAGCTTGTTAGGCGACCAGTCAGTGTCCATACTGTCTTACAACAGTCTGTGACCTGGTTTTCCTGTCCAGTCAGTAGAAGCACAGTAGCCCTGAAGGTGTGTTCCAGCTCTGTTCCACTCCCATTTACGTCCCCTATTGGGACTCCTTCTTCCTAGCTTATGCCAGACTCACCACAGAGCATTCTCAAACTCCATGAAGCACGGCAGCACTGACTTTATTCCCAATTGTCCAGACATTTCTAAGCGAGGGCAATGGTAACAAGTGACATTCACAAAGCTAACTGTCCTGGCCTCCTTCCCTGGTTTCTAGTTCCACTGGAGACAAAGCTGAACAGAAAGAGTCATCCTAGAAGGAATTCTAAAATTCAAGGCTCACGCAGTGCTCCAGGAGTTGCACTTACAGTCGCTGCAAACATCTACTTCCCAGTGTGGGGATATGGAGTTTTTAGGATGAATGGTGGGCCTTGAGACACCCTGTTGTATAAAATCTAAAAATAAACAAGGATTGGTACTAGTTTTAGTAGCAGAAAAAAATATTTTTACTGTATATGGAAGTACCCAAGTTGTGCAATGACTTTAGGCTACGAAATCCCTGGGACAACCTGGTGGGCCTGTGTTCATGGATGAAATAGATTATGAGTAACCTATGTCCTTTGATAAAGCACATTGATTTGAACCAGTGTTTAGGAAAGTGTTACTGATTTGTTACTTTTCCATCCAGTACTTTCAACTGGACTGTCCCATTCTTAAGCTGGCTGGCCATTGCAGCCCTCTGTGTGTTCACAGTTATTCTGTACTTCATCCCACTGAGATACATCGTTCTTGTCTGGGGTAAGTAAAGCTTTTTAAAGAACAACAAAATCCCTCACCTGTTTTAGCAGCTAAGAACAAACTGTTTTTTAAGAGGTGAGTTATAACAGCAGTAGTTATCTATATTTATGGTCATGTAGGTACTCCATGATGAGAAGAGGCCGGTCAGTTAAAAATCACAACCACATAAAGATTTAGGTCTCAGTCTAAAATACATTTTTCATATCTGGCACCATAGCCTCCATCATAATATAAACACGCACTGGTACAGATTCCTTATATATCAAAGTGTAACTTTGTCCAGATATCGCTGACTTATTGTCACCACTTAAAGCCAATGAAGGCGCCTTAAGCCCTGTGGTACGCTTAGGAGAATATGCCTTTTGCTGAGGTATTTCATCTTGTGAAAGTGTCTGTAAACACAGTACTAGCTGCCCATTTGGAAGGTAACTTTTAGGACTTTGGAAAAGCCTTACTAGAACTTACAGGCTCCTTAGGAAACCAAAAAGTCTACTGAGTATGAATGATTTTAGAAAAGGCAATTTCTCCCTAATATTTATGCAATTTTGACACATGCTTCCAACAGTCCCTTTGACCCTAGTACCCATTCTGGAGGTGGTCAGTTTCAGCATCATGAAGAACTGAAACTGAATTTTTCTTTTTCTTCTTTGTGAAATTTTTGGTTTAGAAAACCCAATCTTCAGTCCACCATCATATAGAAATATTTTCTATTTGCCCCTTACCAATGTACACATACATCAAAATTGCTAAAACTAAAAAAATGCAAGGATTAAAAATGGGCTTTAAGAAAACATGCTTACATTGTAATAACAGGATTATTACAGAGATGCTTTTGCCTCCCAAATCATTTAAAGAAATAAACTAGAAGAAAATGAATTAAGAGCAACATTCAATCTCGTTTTAAGATTTCTGTTTTGGGGGCTGGAGAGACAGCTTGGCAGTTAAGAGCACTTAACAGTCTTGCAGAAGACCCAGTTTTGGTTCTTAGCACCCAAAGCACACAGTGGTTCACAACCACCTATGACTCTAGTCCCAGGGAACCCAATGCTCTATTCTACCTTCTATTGGCTTGAGATGTGTGTGTGTGTGTGTGTGTGTGTGTGTGTGTGTGTGTGCGCACACACCCACACCCGTTTTTTAAATAAAAGATTCTTGTTTTCTTTCTCTTTTTGGTCCAAGTTTACGTTTTCCCTCTTAGTCTTTATAGTCACAAGTATTATTCTAGGGCCTGGATGGAGGGTAGAGGAAATAGTGATTATATTTTCCCTTTCCAATTTCTAGCATTTACAGAGATTCTGATTAAGTCACCACTTTTCCCATTTGAAGGATGGTACTTTTTTAGTTTTTTAAAAATCATATTCTCATCTATTAAACACTGATATCTCATTTCTCTGACATTTAGTGCAGATACTGTTTTACTGAAGAGATTAGGGCAGAGACTAACCATACCTTTCTAGGGTCAGGCTTGCAGAACCAGCTCTATTGCCAAGTGGTAAAGAACCTCTCTCCCCACCGACCTCCCTCACTTAGCTTCTCTGAAACTGGAGCCCAAGGCAGACATCTGGTTATGGAGTTTTTAGGGTCACCTGTATGGCCCCAAGGTCTAGCTTTACAGTATGCATTTGAGTATTGTTTCATCAGACAAAAAAAACCCTATTACTTTAGTGGAAGGTGATTGCTGGAATATTAAGAAATCCAGGACACAGGTCTTACACAGCTGAAAAGAGGCCAAGACCACGGTGACAGAAGTTCATTCTGTAGAAACGCCATCAAAAGCTGACATCTAAGTCTATTCCTGTTTGCACCAGTGTTAGGATTTAATGCAAAGCTGAATACTTTCCCCCAAAATTTATGGCAATATTTTTCATTTCAGCTTAAACAATAACCAACCATCGAAGTCATGTGACTTCTAAATATCTACCTTGCTTCGTAACAGCAGCACCTCCTCCCCCTAAAATATGTACCCTTGGAGAAGAGGAAAGTAATAAATTACCTACCAACCTCAACCCAGAAATGTGGCAGACAAGTCTCATCATAGTTAAAACAAATCAGCCAGGGACTGTAACATTGAGAATCTCTAAGGCAAGGCACCGTCCATCTTTCTAAGGCATCCCCCTTTGTGTTCCCCTAAACCCTCGCCTACTGGGGAAGCTATTAAGTTGTAAAGAGAAAAGCAAGCAGCAATTCAGCTGGGAAAGTCGAAAAGGGATGGTGTGCTAGGTCATCCTGTCAAGGTTAAGGGTTAGCACATAGTTGGTGTTCAGGTCTCTGTAATACTGTATCCAGAAATGTGCTTTGCCTAACTCCGCACTCAATAATGAACTCAATAATGTTTGAAATGTCACTTTTTTAGGAATTAATAAATTTACAAAAAAGCTTCGGAGTCCATATGCAATTGATAACAATGAACTACTTGACTTCCTTTCCAGAGTCCCTTCAGATGTACAAGTGGTATGTATGTCTCATTATTATGTGTAGTGTGTCACTGGGCTTTAATTTTTAAACTCTTTAATGTCAAAGGTCATGGTAAAGTTAACAAAGCCCATTGCAGATTTTGGCAGGACTTTAGCCAAGTAGACATTAATCTAGAAACCCCTATACAGAAAATTCATCATCACATGGCTTTCTGGGAGAATGTACCCCAAGTCCACCTCAGTTTGTGAAGAGATATCATCAAGATGTGAGCAGAGAAAAGTTATTTTAGATGAAGATAATGAAAGTAAAATGGGTGCTTACAAACTATTTGTGCATAACAGCATAAATTCAATAAATTTTAAAGATGCATGTTATTGTATATTTTAGATTAGGAAAAAAAGACTACATTTGGAGTACTATAGTGTATCTCACAAATCCTGAGAATTACTTTGGGCTGACTATGTACTAATGGACTGATTTCAAAGTGGAATAAGAAAGGTTTGTCATTACAATCTCTTGGGCAGGTGTTAGCAATCACGATTTAATGTAGTTTCAGTTGAGTTTTTCATTTCATGTACAGACAATGGGCTAGGTGAAGATTAAGACTATTTAACAAACAACTGCAACAAACCATTGTCCATCTCTTCAAAATCAGAGATGGATTTTCTTTCGTTGTATTGTGTTGGTAACGGTCACAGTCCATTGGTGATGTTCACATGGGGCTTCAGGCAGTTTCTGGCAGGGCTTCCCTCTGGACTCTGGTTCTGGCTCCCTGCTGTTCTTTGCACCAGCGGGGTTCTCACTTGACTTCCAGAGCGCCTCCCCACCCCCAAGCAGTTTCTCATTCCTTAGCTTTTCCTTCTTTTGCCAGGAAGTGGCCACCTGACCAGTCTTTCTCTGAACTGTTTAAACAGGTGCAGTACCAAGAACTGAAAGCGGACCATTCTCCTAGCCCATATAAAAGGAAAAAAAACAACCCTGGCTAGCCTGCCCCGGCACTGAGGAGGCCAGCGTGTGGAAGATAAAAGAGAACCCTTCAGCCTCGGCAGCATTTCCTTTCTTTCTGCTTTTTATTTATGTTCTCTTTGTACCATGAGAAAATTTGTAAATAGTGTAAAAAGGCATATGTCTTTGAAAATATACTTCCATTGTACAGACTCAACTTGATAAAGGATTTTAGCTAGTGGAGTGTGAAAGCGTTGTTAGTTATAGATAATATAACCAACTGAAAGAGTAAAAAATAACGGTTATAAAACTGGAAGAAACACATCTCTCGAATTATAAGTGAAAGAACCAGAGTATCGGATTAAATGCTCAATTGTACTCTGGTTAACCCTACATAAAATATGAACCCTGATTTGATCTTTAGGTCTGTTGTAATGTGACTATTTCTTACGTAAAAAGTAATTCACTTTTTTTTGTTTATACAAAGTGGGGAGGGGCGGCCCAAAGCTCGAATAATGGGGTGTTGCATTTCAATTTAGCATATGTCCTGACTTTCACTCCTGTGTAAGTAAGTCCCTTCTGTATGTCTAGGGCTGATTTTAAGTTCAGGAGTACAGGCACATTCATATCTTTGCTGTCTCCTCACACATAATCCCTTAGGAGAATCGGAGAGTTTATGAATAAAACTTGTAAGCCTTCTATCATTCCATCTAAAACCTTAAAGTCTCTCCAGAACTATATTAAATAAATACTGCCAGGTTTATAAATGATTATCAGGATTTTTATATATATTTATCACTATTTAATTTATACTGTTAGCAAATTAGCAAGCCAGTTCAGTTGTCAAAAATACTAGCAAACTAAATCCATACTGCATTTGGTGTTAAATTATGCCCTTGCACATCTTAATAAAAAAAAATTAAGTATCCTTAGAGGGAAAACCAACAACAAAACAGTATCTGCTTTCTCATTAGACTAGTAACATGCTTTAATATAATCCATACTATGAACTTTATTGAGTTTTAATGCAGAGAATGCAGTGGGCTAAGCAAAGGCCAGGGTTTCATTACATCATTAAAGAAGATCACCGAGAATGCATGAAAACCTGTTTTGTAAAGTAAACTTTTAAAGTGGTCACCATGAAAAATGTTTGCTAGCCACACTATCTTAAACAGTTCATTCCTAAAGCTAACTCCAGGGTCTATCAAGGGAACATACCTCAGCAGAGATAACCTGGTCAGTGAGAATGTCCTCACTGACTTGTTACAGGAATCAAACTCAGTGGAAATTGCTGCAGACAATGTTTTGCACTACTTTATTAATTGCTATTAATAAATAACGGGTGGGATGAAGGTGGGGGGTTGTGTTGGAGAATGTAGAAAAGCAGAGCTATATATTTCACGTTAAAGAATTCTTTAAATCTCATCCAAGCTGATTTTTAAAGTATTTTTATTTTAGAAATATGTTGTTAAATACTATTTCTTACAATAGAACTATTTTGATGTTTATACACTATGCTTAGAAATTCCCTTTCTACAGAAAGGCTCTGACCTCACCTCAACATGCTCTATTTAGTTTATCATGTTTAAAATGACATGCTTACTTCTGCATTCCTCACTGTTTGTGGCAAAAACATACTTTATGAAGCTGACCTACTATAAACCTTATTGATGAGACCATTTGTTTGGTATAAGTTCTGATTATACCTGGGTGAGATTTAAGTTCTGTGCTGACAGCCTCTACTCAGATGCCTATAAGCCTGACATTCTATAATCTCAAATGCACCTAGTGGATGTAACCATTAACAGATGACAAGGTTTTGTTTCACTGTGTAAGATTTCTGATGTTTAGTTCAATTGTAATGTTGACTACATACTCACTATATTAAATACAAAAGAAAAGAATCATTTCTATGTAAAATCATTTTTTTTCCTGAGTTGAGTTGCATGGTGGGACACTGGGTGCATGTATACTCATTAGTGATACTTCAATGGGGGAAACATAATGGATTTGAGCAGGGCTATTCCTGAAACCCTGACTAAGGGTATAAACCCATTACCTTGGGCATGGTAAGCATCCAATAAAGCAGAGAAAACTAGCTGGAGTCAAAAAGTTATCTTCAAGCTAGTCCTCGATGCTTTCAGAAACCAACACATTTATAGCAAACAGATAATGGCACCTACAAATAGGATTGTAACTTTCCTACATCGGTTCATTTCAAGTTTAAGAAGTAGGCCTTGGTTCAGTTTTGTTTTTGTCTTCCAGAACTGATGGCTGCACCTATAGCTCTGCCACCGTTACTATGCAAGTGCTCTACCACTGAGCAATGCTCCCAACCACACATTAGATTTTTGTTTTATTTTTTCTGAGACAAGCTTCCTCTGTGTAGCCCTGGCCATCTTGGAACTTCCTCTGTGGGTCAGGTTGGCCTGGAGGTTTTCCAAGATATCTGAAGTCAATATTCTAAGTTATAGGAAGAGACTGAATGTGTCTGAACATCTATTTGCATTGCTAAAACTAACAGACATTGTGAACTCTCAATAGTCTATATTTACATTTCAAATTACAGGCATTGTTGTAGAACTCTGCCCCCTGGGAACAACTACCATGTTGCTTAGATCCATGGTGCTGTTTATAAAAGACCATCCCCATCACAATCATGCTTGCAATTGACCCCCAAAGGAGTGAGTATAGAGGGGCAGTGGGCCTGAGATTCCAGCAATTTGGATGCTTATAGATGTGCTAGAGTCTACATAGTCCAGGGCAGGTTGAGAGGGAAGGGAGACATACAGTGTGGGGCACTGGGGAGGCTACAATTCATACTGGTCAAGACTTGCCAGTGCAGTTGCTTTGGGGTCATCTATGTTCCTTAAGTGACTCCTCCCCACTGCTCCTCTAAAGTTAGCCTGATAAACTCATTGGCTCATAAGGCTGAACTTTGGTGGGATGCTATGGTTTGTCATTGAGATCACGTTTAATTCTACCACCATTCAGACATCTCACCATCTTGTAACCCTTTAACACATTTTAACATGCTATTACCCAAAGTTTGTTTTGCTACTGGTTCAGGCTCACGGTGAGAGTTCTTGAGAAGGAGGGCTGTTCTAAATTAATTTTGAGCCATTCTATGCACTAGGACAATGTAAGTTAGGATATTGCTTTACAGGACTTCTGATGCATCTATTCTATGTCTACTGTATAACCCTGAGAAGGGCAATTAGAGTGTATGTTTGTATCTAAGGTATAATCAAACCAATCTGAAGTTTGTAAATAGACAAATTTAAATTATATGTTTATGAAAATAACTTCAGAAGTTTCTGTAGGTTTTAACAAGACTCTGGCCTCTAACTTGCAATCAGCCTCCCAAGTGCTAGGATGAGCAAGTTAGTGCTGAAATTAAGCAGCTAAATACTATCCAGGGGCTACAGGAACTTTCCACTTCGATAGCAAAATAGAAAGATGTTCAATATTGAGACCAAAACATAGCAAACCTTATTCAAAGTCTATCATTTCATTTATAAACTCAAATAAGCCTGATTGCTTACAATGCTTCTGAGGAATAGTGCTCTTGAGAAATTTGTGCTCACCCTAAACAAAAACTATAAGGGGGTACTCGGTGGTTCAAGATACAAGACAACCAGTGTCACACCTGTGACAAAGAGACTCAGCTCTTATTAAAGCATGCTTAAGTTTTGGGGGTTGGAATGTAGCATGTGTTCACACTTGTTTAGTCACTGGGTTACTAGAGTATGTGGAGTCAGTCTTTTCTAACTGCTCAGTTGAATTAAAACCACCCAAATAAAATAAAAAATGTCTTCTTTATAATTCTCCTTCCAATGATGATTGATGTAACTCACTGAAACAAAAACAAACAAGAAAACCAGCAGAAAGCATCTCCGTCTTGTTTTGAGACGACTTTTACACTCATTTTCCATATTCATCCAACGGCACCTTGTGTAATGGCAGTCACATGAGAAGTTACTCCAGCGGAATCTGAGACTTGAACACACCAAGAAAATCTCTATGTTGAAAATTATGAAAAAGTGTATTAATGTCCGAAGTATTTATATGAAGTTGACAGGTTTGCTACAATCCATTTACGCCCCCACCCTGAGGGTTCTGGTTTAAAAAGGGAAAAGAAAAACAAAACCATCCATATAACAAAAACCACAAAATGAGACAACTGAATATATAATTCGTCTCTCATATTTCAACTCATTCAATCTTTCACATTGTAAGCTGAAAACAAAATGGCAAAATAAAGATATAAAAATCCCCAAAGTGTTATACTACACAAACAATATTTTTGTTAAAACAATTTTAAAAAAGATAGTTCCATGTCTTTGAATGCAGTGAAAAGACGGGGTATTTAAAACAAGATTTTATTATATGTGTACAAGTGTTAGTCTGCATGTATGCAAGGTGCACTGTGCATTCAATGCCCACAGAGGCCAAAAGAGGGCACTGTATCCCCTGGAACTGCAGTTTCAGATGATGAGCTGCTGAGAACCAATTTAGGTCATCTTCAAGAACAGGAGGTGCTTTAACTGCTGAGTCTCCAGTTCCAGAACTAATTTATAAAAGGCAACAAAATGGTCCTGCATGTTCTGCTCGCATCAACGGAGTTACTGCTTTGGGCAGAGTTTTAGTTGAATACCTATGTCAATGTGTTATCATTATGTATCAAAATAACTACAACAAAGGCCTTCCCTCTCTATATTTTTCAATGTTTCTTTAAAGAGAAAAGGAAAGACCAAATTGAGCCAGTGGAAAACCACCTTATTTCTCAGGAAGACTGCTTTGAGGAAGCCCTGAGCTCTGGCTGAAGGGGGCTGTGACTACTAAAGAGGAAAGATAATATTGGCTCAATCTTGGGGTCAAAGGCTAGCTTCCAACTGGCTTCAATCAAGTTAAACTATTTTATTTTGCCTGGGTTCAAGTAGTGACAGATTTGGAAGAAATGCTAAACTTGTACAGAAAACAGCACTCGTGGTCCCAAGCATTTTAAATTGTGTTCTGCATTATAGGAAGCACCTGAGACAACAGTCAAGTATTAGCTTTCACAAAGACAGCTGGAACATAGAAGTGAGCCAAGGGGAAGGAAATGCCAATGTTTTTCTTAAGATCCCTTTTTACATCTACCAGAGAAATGGAATCCATAACTAAATTCACCCATAAAATATTCTTCTTTATACAGTAGTGATTCCAACAACTGTAAACCAAAAAAAGTAGCCTGTCTTAGATAAATTTTGAAAAATACAACTTTCTATTTCCTGTTACACAAAGGTACATGATTGTGATTTTGTCATTACTCTTGTGTATAGGTGAGTAGGTAGTCCCAATTTCTAACCAAATTTACAGACTCATATACTTATCACACTTGTCCTAGAATTGTGAAGCACACAGAACCTACCCAGGAAGGTCAAATGACTGAACCCATTTGAAGAAGCACCCCCAACCTCCCACCCAAATTTCATTTGTTTGATGTTCCTTGGTATTTAAAATTTCCATATTTCAAAGTGGGGGTGGGTTACTTAGAGGTTGAGACTACTGTTCTAATGGTAGACTGCCTGCCTCATAAATGTCAGGCTTGAGGTTCAATCCTTGTACTGAAAAAATTTAAAATAATCGGAAAAAACAATCACCAGTACTTTTTTTGTCCTATGTTTTGGTGGGGATAGGAGTATGCACAAATCATTTTGCATTTATTCACATAACCAAGGGCCAGGCATACCAATTCATAATCAGGTATGTACCATTCATTACTATGCACTATGATGCTAATTCAAGAATACTTTTGTCAGCCAAGAAACCCTACCACCAAAACAGATTTATCAATAATTTTTGGCTGTTATAGTTGCCTCTGTTACTTTTTAAAACAAACAGCTGTGCCATTTGGAGATAAACTAATGCATTACACTTCACTCCTGGCATTCATCCTGCAGGTGCCTGTGACAGTGTGGCCGAGCGAACAATGGCGAGGCCACCTTAGAGCCCTTCAGTAGACAGCTAGGTCTATCTGCCTTCCTGCCGTAGTAAGTTACATGGTGGGGTTTCCATTTCACAGACCAGTTACCACTCAGTCTCACAACTCCCTCTTTTCTGTGCTAAATATGAAAAGACTCTCTAGAAAGCACGTAACTAACTGGTTCCATCAACATTTACAAAACTATAAAATAAAGAATGTGTTATATGTTATAACTACCACTCCCAAAATTGGGTATTTAGCAAGCTAAGGCTATCACTAAAGAGCAATGAGCTATCTTCAAATAACATTAGTGGGGCTCTGGTCTAAGCAAAAAAGGTACCATGGGGCAAGCTGTCAGACTCACTCTCAAAGAAACATGAAGGACAACTGAGCTATGTAAGATCTTCATCAGATGATAGCAATTGCAGCCTACTTTGAAGAAAAATGGCAAATTTTAAAGCTCAAGGTACTTTTTAAAAATGGAGGACATGCAAATTTAAAATTAGCTACTTTAAAAGCATTTCAAAATCAATTCTTGGGCCAGCAAGATGGCTCTGTGGGTAGAAACATTGTTGCCAAACCTGATGCCCTGAGTTCAGTCCCCAAGATCCATGTATTCAAAGAGATAACTGACTCCCAAGGGTTGTCCTCTAACACCACCTGCCTGCCACAGCATTCAGGCCCACTAACACATTCTCAAATACATACAAAGTAAATACATGTAAAAAAAAAGACAAGACTCAATTAGGAGAATCACTTTGAAATAAGTAGGTTACTGGTACTGTAAGCAAACAAACTATTTTACGGAAAAATTAGATAAATGAAAGTATTTAAATATTTGACACATGAATACAACTACCAACAACAATGTATCTACTTACTTAGAATATTTTCCTCATGAAATTTAGAGAAAAGTCTCTAATGACATTTAAATATCTGCTATTTCTCATCACAAAGTTAAAAGTCAGCCCAGAAGAAAAGGCATTTAGAAGTTTTAGTAAATGGATTTTGACCTCCCTTTAAAGTTCATTTCTTCCAGTGGTACGTCTCAGTAAGAACTTATGGTACCTGGAAGGGAATTTATAAGAAGGTAGTGATGAGCCAGGCGGTGGTGGTGCAAGCCTTTAGTCCCAGCACTCGGGAGGCAGAGGCAGGAGTATCTCTGTGAGTTCGAGACCAGCCTGGTCTACAAGAGCTAGTTCCATGACAGCTTCCAAAGCCACAGAGAAACCCTGACTCAAAAACAAACAAACAAACAAACAAAAAGAACTGTAGTGATGAGAAAATGAGACAATTATTTCTAAGTTTCACTACTACTGCATTTTTGTACGTGTCTTTGCAGTTAAGAGAATGAGATTTACCTAACCTTGAGGAAAGGACTGAATACCACTAGCTAGAACAGACTGTTGTTAATGCTACTGAATTTCAAGATAAGTGCACTTTATAACAACTTAGTCATTTATCTTATTAAAATTGCACAAAAATGCTTAGGACATAGCATATCCATGATTCAGATCTGTCTATATGCCTTCTGTATAACTGAGTGTAGTTAGTAACTTCAATCAGTACATTCAATATTTAGAAATATTTCCTTTCTTGACTACTTTAAACCAGGTATTCCCTAACCATTCCCTCCATCCCCTTGCTCAGGTTTCATTTTTGCAACTTGTAAACATTTTTAAAATGCACATCTTAATTTTATCAAAGTCTACTTAATGCTCAATTTCATGGCTGCTGTAAAAGAGAAACAATGCAAACCAGAAATATTTGAGGTAAAGCTGGATACCTAACACATTACCCTCCTCCCCTCCCCCGCACACACACAAGTAAACACACATTATAAACTCTCCATTCACCAAGCATCCAGACATACACCACTGCTGATGTGACATTATCAATGTTTATTTGATGTAATCTGATAACATGAGAAGAAAGGTGATCATGTTTACCAAGGAGAAAGTGATTCAATTATAAGTGGGCAGAAGAATGCATAGATGCTCAAATAATGGGCCTTTCTTGTTAGAGGCCACACAGTCTAATACTTCCATGCTATGCAATGATTACTCAATAACTGATCAATCGTCCCTCTGACAACACAGTTGGCTTTTATTAGTAAGTCAGCAGTATAAACACAGAAAAGAGCTCACAGTGTTTACTTTAAAGAGATGCAAATACAGCTATGTCTTTAAGAGCAAAACATTATTATTTTTCAAAGGTCATTCATATCTAGGACTAAGTGTTGTAGTTTGAACCTTTAAAAATAGGCTGATATAACTTTAACTGTATTATGCATGAACTAAGAGAAGCTACAATGTGCTCAAATATACCATATCTTAAACAGCATATAACATTAAAAATCCCAAACAGACCATAATCTGAGAAAAACAATCACTTATATTTGTAAATCCCTAAGATTTTATTCAAATAATTTCACAGAATTTTCTTTCTAACAGTTCACATAAACTATAAAATAATAGTTGATGTGGCTTGTGTTCTCATAAACTTGGGTCAGGAGTTAAACATTTATCTTGATATGTTCTGCAAGACCAGGATTTACTATAAGTATAATCTGTCTAATGATTATTGGTATTAAAAAGTCCTATGAAACACTCCTCTGGAAGTTTTCCTTCAGTAGCATACTCAGTGCACTGAAGAAAGTATGCTCAGAACCAACTTAACTTTTTCTGATCAATATAGTGCCTGGTACTTTCTGATACAGGTTTAGAAATTAGCAAAGTATATTTCCTTACTGCAATTCGTTTTAACCTACAAGTTGGATCTTCTGGTAACATAATCTGATTTCCATGCACTAGTTAAAGAGTCTTTGTTCAGTTCTAACATGGATGAGTGCTTTCCAATCATTCTGAGTTTTGTGAGGTCTACCTCAGCAGGAGCTGCAACTGGCATGGAAGCTGCCAGGAGGAACGAGTGACTGGCAAGGAAGGCCACCTAACAAATGCTGGAGGTATAAGTGACTCCTACCAGTCAAGGAAGATGCAACAGCTCTTACCAAGTTCATCAGAGGCAGGAGGGCTGCAGGGCCCATCAGTAGTTTCTTTCCATGTAAATCTATTCGCTTTGCTAAAACAGCATAGAGAAAAGCAACCACACTCTTCTGATATTTATGAACATTCTAGCATTAACACATTTGCATTTGTCTCAGAATGAGCAGTAAGACTTCTAAAGCCCACCCACTGCCTATTTATTCTAAAATTAAATTACCAAAGTAATACTTACAAATGATTACACTATCAGACTCAGTATTTCAATTTAAAAAGTAGGGCACACTTACTAAAGCCTCCAGAAACATACCAAACCAATTTCCTCTCAACAGCACTGAAGAAAACACATGGAAATGAGCAGCATTAACTCTGGTTTACCTTCCCAGTTGGTCAGGGTTTCTTCTATTGTCACCAGCTCCTGGGAGTATGCCACTTTGAATTTTCTTAGCTTTTCAAAAAGGTTGCATTCAAAACAATAATTCATTTCCCAGTGCTTTATACCAGAAGCAGCGACTTTTTTCCTGGTCAATTTGTAGGAAACTATGTCTACAGAACACTTTATTCTCTACAGTGGAACCAAGATTAAGACCATAGGAAATTCAAAAGGCCCTTCCAAGAACCGCATTAAAATGCACTGAGGAAAGCTGACTCATCTCAGAAGCCCCCTCTAATGTTTCCTCATGTTGTGGAAGGGGCTTTGATTTGATTTTTTTGTTTTGTTTTTCCCCTCTTCAACAAGCCATGGAGCTGTGACATCTGATCGGGGAGAACATGGGACAGAATGCCATTACTCAGCTTTATTTCAAGCCACGGCTTTGAAAAGTCTCCAATGGACAGTTAAGACTCAGGAATTTTAAGTGTTTAGAACTTCTTCCTCTTTGACCTCTAAGATAGATTTAAGACAACAATGATGTTTTCTAAAATATAAATACAAGAAATAATAAAAACAATGCTACAATGCCAAAGTGTAGTAACTCGGCATGGAACACAGTAGCCTGTACCTGTGAAACAACGCCTTCCTACAGAAGAAAGACATCTTGGAGCACCGGAGTGTATTTCAGGACATGGCATTATGGCTTGGATAGTTCTATCAAAAAATATTGTTTAATGAATATCTAACTTAGGAAACTACCTAGCAGACAAAACCCTAACTCATGATACTGTTTATATTTTTTTAATTATAGAAGTACTGTTAACTTAAGCAATTAGCATCTTTTTTTTTTTTTTTGCTTTAGCATCTCATTATTAGCAAATGAAATAGTAGACACAAAGTTTATGAAGCATCATATAAAGTGAGAGTTTAGCTTAATTCTTTCAGGACAAGGATACCTGACATTATTTCCATTTGACATAAAAGAAAACCAAAACAGGCCAGGCAGTGGTAGCACACACCTTCAATGCCAGCACTTGGGAGGCAGAGGCAGGGCCAGTTTGGTCTACAAAGCGAGTTCCAGAACAGCCAGGACTGTACAGAGATAGCCCGTCTTGAAAACCAAAACCAAACAAAACAAAATAAACCACAAAACAGAAAAAAAAAGTCCTTGTAATTTAGTTTTAACAAATTAGCTAAAGATCTACCTGATTGTGCTCGAGTCAAAGCCTATGCCCAAGTCTGTGTTAGTTTATGAAGCAATGTTACCCCAGGTGCCTTCATAATAAGATTAAATGACTCCTCCTAGCTCCTTTCTCGTCTTCCCCCTTGCCTCTGTTTAGTATGGCTACAAACTCAGTCATTCTCCAACTCAGCCTCCCCAGTGACTACTCATGTTTGCTGATATTTTGGCGGGATTAATAACAAAAACACATTTTTATGCTATTTCTTACAGTACGTATAAATTTGTTTGAAATCTTACAGAAGTTTGATTTTTATTAGAGTACCTATCTGTCTGTTTCTGAAAGATCTATTTTGAAACAAAGCTCAAATGCTTCTTTAAGACCCTAACTGCCATTGGATCAGCAATTATATAACATCTAGATTTAAGTTGTAATTTCTTTTTCCCATCTGTAAAACAAAGTAACTTCTCCCCACCAATTTCATAAGTAGTTAATAGTCACACTCTGCCCTTTAAGTTATAAATTATTAGGAAAAAAATGGAGACACTAATCTGCAAATTCATATTGCATAATAAAATTTCAGATAACCTCAGACTACTGTCAATTTAATTGTAATTTCTTTTTTCCCCCACCCTCCCCTGCGGTCTTAATTGTAATTTGATTATAATATTTAATAAAACTTGTTATGTGGTAAAATGTTTTTAGCTTATAGAAGATTGGTTAAGAGTATAGAAACATACTTCATGAATGTACTGCTAAACTAAAACAGATCAAAGAACTGAATTGTTAAATTGTATATATTGGAGCATTTAAAAACCAAAGTTTATTAAGTATAATTTAAAATTCCAGAAAGGTTTATTTTAGAAACACAGAAAAGCAAATGCATCTTAGACACTAGCTTATAAAGAAGAAACAAGTTTTACAAGCATATAGATAAATATTTTAATGAATATCCTTACCATGATTTTAAAACCTATAGAACTTAGAGGAAAATTTTTGATATGAAAAAATATTTAGTTTTCTACATAAACAATATAAATAAATATTTTCAGAACAAAGATTTTTAAAAGACCAATAAAAACATTTTACACCCAACAAAACTACTTCATTTTATCATTCTATATTTCTGAGTTAAATTCTAAACACTGGAAAGGGAGCCCGTATTCTCATTCTGCAGATGTGTAAGTGCTATGAAAATCTGCTGTAAGTCTGTTAGTGAATACATCCAATTAATATTTGTCCACAAGCTATGGCTGCATGTTTAGGATCTGACTCTCACTTTCCGGCATCATGACACCTCTGTGACTGACTGACACATCATTTCCAATGTCACCAACAAGGCCTCAGTATGCACTCCAGGACACACATTAAGGTTCTCAGGCAGGTCCTTAAGAACGTTTGGGAGCTTCCTTAACGTCTTTATGTTCCTAGCATACAGGTCCAGTAACCAGTCAGTATGTGCACTGGTGGGCTCTGTGTCGTCACTAGTACACGCTATAAGCAGCTCACTTAGATGAGCCAGCCCTTTGAAAGCTAGGATGAGTTCTGAAGATAAACCAAATGTTGAACAAAAACCAAGCAACATCCTACTAAGTAAGAATGAACCAAATTCAAGCTGTTGGTGATACAAATGTTTCTGTGTCTGAGCATGAAAGTTTTCCACTGTGTCGTCTATATTGGTAATGGCAAAGAGTTCTTCCTTGTCTTTAGGTGACAGGACATAATCCAAGGGTAACTCCCCCTTAGAGTTCCTCTGTTGTAAAAGCACTGGGCCTATGAAAAAGAAAATGTAAAATGTTAGTAGTAAAACATTTTTATTTTGGCAGTTTAACAACTGTTTTCTTTCCTTTCCCCCCAAAGTTTACAGGGCTCTATTTTACAGTACCATATTTACTACCAATTAGCTGCCACACAGATTGTAATAGACTGTATGGACTAATAAAGGTGTATTTACAGACTTAAAATTCTTGTCAACTGTATAACGAAGTCTGCTTAGAAGTTCACATTCTATAGAAGTACTACAGATGATAAATGAAATAGCTGTGGCTACCTTAAGAACAAGAATTTCAGTATAAAATGCCTTATCTTAAGTTCAGAAAAAGGAAGAAAAATGCCTCCTTTCCATTACTGATAAACGACCTGGTAATGGTGAAAACTGTGAAGACCCTATGCAGCAGATACAGTCTAGTTCTCATTTTATTTTTGCTAATGTTTACTGTCTATAAAGGTAAAGGATTTGCAGAAACCTTAGTTTTAATTTTTCTAAGTCATACCCAATAGTTGATATACCAAAACCAAAACCAAACCATGGATAGTTAGTACCCAATGCTCAGGGTCCAAGTTTACTCTGTAAGTACTAAGGATGTAAGAAGTGCAAAACAAGGACACAGGGTTCAGCAGGAAGCGTTCCCTACTTGTCAGTCACAAGCGTGTGAGCCTTATGCACTCACTCACACACGTTACCTGGGTATGCAGGAACAGGAGGAGACCAACTGGAAATTCCTATCATTGTGACATGGACCACACATATAATGGCTTACATGACTCAGGCATAGTTTGTAGAGAAAAGAATTCAGGATGAAAATTGTATTGTCTGTCTTTGCATTAACATCTCCAGGCAAAATTAAAATATTCTAACTTATTCCTGTTAGGAAAAATTATGAATACCTGAAGCAAACAAATTTTTAGCAATGTATACTCTTGAAATCATTGCTGTCAAGACTGAAAGTCTTGAAATTAATAGATTGTATTATAGCTTAGCATAGTGATAATGTCAAATCTTATGTGACAGATTCAAACCCAGACTCTGACTGGGTAAGTAAAAGCATAACAAAACAAAACAACCAGTCAACCAAGTACTTTAGCCAATGGACCTTGACAAACCCAAGTACAAGCAGATTTTTCTCTCCTAAGTCAGAGAACCACCTACTTACTACTGTTTGCTAGAAAAATTCACATTGGTTGACCTAACACTAAACTATATTAGTAAGCTGGATGTCACACAATAATACCCTCATATATTTGCATCATTTATTACAGAAACAAATATTTGTTAGAATATCAGATTAAATTTTGAGCAGAAAAACAGAATACTTCATAGGGAAAGCATTATGTTTAGAAAACGAATAGTATTTAAAAAAAGAAGGAAGAAAAAGAAAAACAAATCAATTATGAAATAATGTTGGTAAATCAGACACACTTAGGCCTTTAGGGGGCAGGAGAACACTATAAATAACAAAGTCTCTCAAGCTATCATGCAATTCATCCTTTCTTAGATGCATGTAGCAACACCCCCCCAAAACATCAGAAACCAAAAACCAAAACAAATACAAAGCTGCATAAAGAATATGCATTTTGCTTTTATACATTAAGTGGCTTATTTACAATATAAACACATCAAATTCTAAGTTAAAATTAGCACAATAAAACCAATAGATTTACACAAAGGCTTGTGTTTTTCTTATTACATGCTAGCCATCGGTTTTCTTTTTAAAACACAAATTAGGTTGAATGTTTTGAAGCAAAGTTTACAGTAGTTCATATGCAGAAATATTGCTAAAACAGGAGTAGCTGAAGGTAAAAGGACAGAACCTGGAGAAGCAGGAGATGGATATGAAGCTTAGCATAGCCTCTTCACAAAATCCCTGCATTACACTTCACACCGTCTGAAAATCTGACTCCAACTTAGTTGACTGTAAATATATATGAGAAAAGATCCTGGCTATCTTTTCCATACTCTATAAAGGAAAGCCTTATAAAGATAGCGTTGGCTTAGAGTTATACATATACATGTAATAAAACGAGAGTGAAACCCAAAGGAGTTGCCAGAAGCACTGAGACCAAAGCTCTAATGATTGGTTCACAAAGGCATCATTATGTTAGCAAAAGGAATACTTAATGCTAACATGTTCAACTGAAAAAAACATATTATCACATATGAACCTCAATAGGTTTTAACAGTACATCTATACTATAAAGTGATTCTTACAACAGCTAATACAGGGTGGCTGTATTTTAGGAGACTTGTTGTTTACTTTTTCACTAATATAAAAGTATTTTTCTTTACGGATTTTAAATATCAAGTGCTATCTGCCTCCGAGGGATTCATCAAAGCCTAGATAATTTACAAAACCCACTTAGCACAAACACACTCACCCCCATGCTGTAGTAGCAGCTTGCCAATTTCTACATGTCCGTTTGACAGTGCATCATGCAAAGGAGTCACCCCGTCCACTTGAGTGAGCAGATCTACCTCTGGACAACGTTGCAAAATTTCCTGGACACACACTGTGTTGCCATAGTTACAGGCTTCATGCAAAGGCGTCCAGCCAGCATTGTCTAAATTACAAATAAAGGCAAGTTTTAAAATAGCAGAAGTAGTACTGTTGGTTGCAAAGTATTGATGTTCTATGACTCCCATCGTATTACTCTGTAGGAGCTTCATATATGAAAAAAAGCTTTGGTGAAAATAAACACAGTGCAATCATATTTCTATTTAAAAATGAAAATAAATAAAAAGCAACCTCAAAATATTAATGTTGGAATATGACCAGTAAATTATAACTAAAGTATTGCATAATGAATTATTTTGGTTTGACTGCTAATAGTATTTTAACATTTCTTCAGTAAATTTACTTAAATGATTTTTCTTAATGTGACATAAAACTATCTTGTATGACGAATTTTAAGACACTGAATGAGAGCACAAAGACCCAGAGAACTTACCTTTAACATTGATGTCTATTCCTGGCAAAGAGAGAAGAAAAATCAATTTCTCCACTTGGTTTTTTATGCAAGCTCTATGCAGAGCTGTTTCCCCTGCCATAAAAAATTAATAGATTATTCCAGAGAAGATAAGATATCAACTAAACAAAATAATCAAAGGGCCATGAACTAGAAGATCTGGACCTATGCCAGACAATTATTTACGAGTTTTCCTTCCCACTGGTTTAACCATCTCTTGAATTAAAAAAAAAAAAAAAAAAAAAGGCAGGGGTCCCCAGGAACCCAGAGCTTCTGTCTTGTCAGCAATTCAGCAATGAAATTCTACAGCGCTCTAACACAGGCATTGTCTCTCCCTAGTTCAGGGTTTAAAGCGCCAGTCCTGCTACAAAAACCCCCAATGACACAAACACCAAAAATACTTGGTTTTGCAGCAATCAAAGTTTTAAAGCGCAATTGCCCTCTCTTAAATTTATTCATGAACCTCCCACTAAATGTATGGCTCTTTCTTATACAGCATTTATAGCTTAATTCAAATGAATGTTCCTGGCTAAGCACGAGTGCTTCCACATATTCAAGTATAATTCAGAACTTCAAATCCATTAACAGATGGTTTGCTGCTTCTCAATAGGCTGTCTGGCTTGGCTACAGCAGCACAGAGGGAGAAATGGGAGAATCTTAATATAAACACCACACACACACACACACACACACACACACACACACACACATTCGGGCGGGGTGGGAGGAGGGAGGAAAGTCCTTGCGTACCACTTAAGAGCTGAACAACACTAGCACATAGAATGGCACAATTTTTGCTGGGAGGAATGCAGTAAGTAGCTGCTGGTCAAGAATATCTACTCAGAATCTCTCTCATAACTAAGACTAGTAAAATGTAAGTCATAATTTGACATTAAGAAAAATAGTTAAAAACTTGTCAGTGACTGCATAGGAAACAAAATGAAACATGGACATAATTTGTTCCTGCTATAAAAAGGAGTAGCACATTTTTATAGTGTTCAGTTTTTTTCGATTATCTCTGCAACTTCTACTGAGCATTTCTTCTACAAGCATAGGAAGTCTCTTCAAGTTTTCCTGTATTTCTCAATTTTCTACCTGTTCCAACTACTGCTTTTCAGCCTAAAGTCATTCATATTCATTTTAAATTTTGTAACAATAAAGCAAAGAAAATAGACACTGATCTTTGAAATGAATATCAGATATCTTACCTAATAATTTTGAGCTAAAAGGGAAGTTATAAGCTTCTATCACACCAAGAAATTGTAAAGGTTTTGCTGTCACTGTTTTCATGAGTTAATGTATCCCAGGAGTTAATATATATGATACAGTTTGCAAATAAGAGCAATTTGTAAATCTAGCAACTTAGTTTATCCAAGTAGAGATGCCTTGTAGACACATATCTTCAGGTTATCAGATATGAGTAAAAGAGGTGCAACACTATTCTTGAGATTCCATTCACTAGGTACTTAGGCTCCAGTACAGTTAGAACCAAAAACCAAACACATTTCAGTCTGGGCTCAGTGCCTAGAAGAAAAGAGCCCATATGCTTAACACAGCGATATAACATAGCCTACTCCTCATTCTTTGTTCACGAAATGTGTATAACTTAAAAGAGCTGAAGAATGAATTATACTTTCAAATCAGAAGACAGTGATCCTAAGCAGCACACACTGATGTGGAAGAGAAAAGTAAGGAGGGCAAGTCTGGGATGAGCTCAACGTGCGCTACACACCAATAAGCATCTAGAAAGGCAGGGGAGAAGTACACCAGGGGCTAAATTACCACTTCCTTTGTATAAACAAGAGTTCAAGAAAATAATACACTATCCATGAAGGTATTTCCTGGACCCAGTCCAATATTTAAGTTCAAATATTCATCAGGGCAAATGTGTGAGATTTGCAAATACCGATTACAACCATGAAAAGGTCTTAGCATTAGTTAATTCAGATACTTGGGATACCTTTTAGATTAGTTTTGTGAAAATTCATCTTTGTAACCAGAGTGGGGCAATTCTCCTTGGAACATGACAATTCTCCTTCTGATTTCTTTTTCAGTTTTTTCAATGATGAGGAACATTTAGAACGGTTCAACTCTCTGAAAAGAAAGGAAACCAAGGAAAGCTTGTTTTTTTTCAGTAAGGCATGCCAGCATACATAAGATAGTATTTTTCTCCTTTAAAACATCTTTCTTTCAACTTAAGCCATTTCCTCATTCCATCATACTGTTTTCCAATTTTCAAATCATGTCAGCTATTATGGGAACAAATTTTGATGCATTAATTTTCACTTTATTAGTCTATATCTCCAACTGCTCACTAAAAAGGTAATGAGTATAGAACGTTGGGCAAAGAAGAAACCAAGTAAATAACGTTTTGGAGATAAAATAATGCTGAAAGCTAAATAAGAATGCAGGCCTCCAGAATTCCCTATTCAAGAAGTATCTCATTTAGGAAAGCAAGTAAGTATAGTATCTCTCATGACCGAACATCTAAAATCTCATTTATTACAAAAATAAACAGTATTTCATGTTTCAGAAAAGTACTTGTATGAAACTGAGACTTGATTAATAGTTTCATTCCTTTTGGGAAGCACTTATTAGGAGAGAAGTATGATCTTTGCGTTACAGTAAAAGAAAGTGCCGATCCTATGTATTTTATAGGTATAAAATTGAGTTTTCTTCCAATCAATTTAATGCAGACAATACCCCAGATAACCTAAAGTTCAAGAATGCTTAGAGAAATGTCCTATTCTAAAACAAAGTACAGCTGTAGCAACAGCGTTACTCACGGAAATTCAGGCCAACCTTCAACTTGCTTTTGCTTTGCACCATTCAGCATTAGTAATGCTCTCTGAGACTCTAGGCAAGGTCGCTGGCCCAGTTTTTTTGGCATCTTCATCTTTCTAACCCCATGTATGTCCATTTCTCCCAAAACGGGCAAATAGGAGTCTATCTGTTACAAAAAAAGATTATATCATTACCATAGCTACAAAGAGCAGTAAAAGGCATTACCTGATCACTTTACTAACAAGTCTGCTTTTATTTTCTTTATTTCACAACTACATTGCCACATTATCTTCTCTGATCATGATTGAATATTAAAGATGCCAGTTCTGTGTAATTATTTTGCCCATATCTTGCAGAGGAGGATACCTTTAGAAAATAACTACATTTTCTATTTCAATCTTAATATTCATTTAGGAAAGTTCTTTTGATTAAGTCTCATAGGATTTACTAATTTTTGTACCTTACGACTTATAGACAACAAGTATTATTTCAATTTTGTTAATGGTTTTCTTCAACAGAAGGATAAGTTCAGAATAAATGGAATAAGGTGAAAATATCCTTTGAACAAATCCTGTTGCAAAGCAATTTGTCCAGCATTTTAATGAACTAATAGGACTTGGCGTATTTTGAAGAAGCTTTTTAGAGAGTTTTAGACCTTAGTGTCTAACATGGCCAAGACACGAGAGAATGGGAGCAAATGCAATATATATGTATGTATATAGCATCCATCTTTCCAAGTTTTCATTTTTAAATGTCAAAAATAATTTTGGATGTAGTTTCAAAGTGTTACGTATTATGGCAAATCTCAGGAAATACTTTTTCTACTTATTCCCCCCAAATTTCTCTTCACTAACCTCTTTCTGAAAGGACATTTTTATTATTTACTTGCATGTGTATTTGGGGTGTGCATGCATGTGTGCCTGAGGTCAGAAGGTAAACTTGGGTCCTCTGGGCGAACACTGAGCATCTCTCCAGCCCACCACCCTATTCTATGAGCTGTGCTGTGCCCGTCTCTGAGAAATCTCTAAGAACTGAAACTGAACTCATGAGCTCACTTAGGAGGACAAGAACCTGGGTAGGGCAGTGCTTACTATTTTCTGAAGAGAGAGAGGCTCCGTGCAGGCACTGGTGGGGCCCTGTAAGCACAGCTTTTTAAAGACTGCTTCGGCAACAAACATCTGAAGCCAGGAGGATGAAAAAGAACAAATGAAGACCTCTAGTTCTTGTGAAGAGAAGTCTGCAAAAACAAATGAATACAGCTATTGCACATCTTATACATTTTCCCCATATTTTTGCAATGGGTTCTACTCAATGGAGTAATATTTCCTAAGCCAGTAAAATTTAATTATAATTTTGAACCACTATGGATGGTTCAAAATAAATGTGCTCGTGTGTGTGTGTGTATATGTCTAATATATCATACACATATACTCTTAAACACTATCACTTTAGTTAAGACTTAAAATCACATAGAGTCAGATATACTAATTCATGCCTTTAACCTCAGAAATGAGGAAGCAAAAACAGGGGGACCAATTAGTCCAATCTACACAGTTCTAGGATAGCCTTAGCAAATAGTGAGGCCCTGTCTAAAACCCAAACCAAACCAACAAAACCATATATGTAGACTACATTATATAATTGCATCATTATATCGATATATGTGACTTTACCTTTGAGTTTCCAATAACATTAACAACCTCAAATTGGATCATTTTTGAAAACTAGTTCTTGGTTTTAATTAATTCACTTAATTAAAAAATGAACTGATTGACTTTACTTTTGACACAAGGTCTCATTTTACAGCCCAGGCTGGACTTACTCACAATCCCTGTACCTCTGTCTCTGAGGGCAGAGATGTGCCATGGCCAACAACGTTTACTTTTACTTATTTATTTTAAGACAGGGTCTTCTGTACCCCTCTGAACTCCCTACCTAGCAGAGAATGACCCTGTGCTATTTATTCTCCTGCCTCCACTTCTCAAGTGCTGGATTACAGGCGGGCATCAAGAGTGCCATGTAATTGCTTCATAACATTCAGTCTTGAGCTGACAGAAGTTTCCTCTCATAACACTGACTGACTGTATCACTCAAGAGCTAGAGGACACATACAAGAGAAAAGAATAAAACAAACGTGAAGATTTCATTAAAATTTGTACCCACTCAACAATGAGGTAATTTTTAAATAAATATTTATTTTTATTTTATGAGCACTGAATGATGTTTTACCTGCATGAGGGAATCAGATCCCCTTGGACTAGAGTCACAGAAGGCTGTAAGCTGCATGTGGGTGCGGGGATTTAATCTGGGTCCTCCAGAAGAACAGCCAGCACTCCCAACTGGTGAGCTGTCTCTCTAGTCCCCATTTTTTAAAGTTTCCTCTTTATGAAAGTCTTATAGGATAATTAATCTATCTCACTTAATGTAATCAAAGACATCAAATGTTACTCAGAATTTCCAAATAGCATGGAATAACATCAATTATCCTTAGAGATAATCAATTATTGCATATAACAGATATAATTTCTATAAAAATCATACTATCAATTTAGTTAGTTCATACAGCTTCAAGTTAAAAGCCCATTTCTACAAGGTCTTGTGATGTAGTAAAACAGATACAAAATTTCCTGTCGTTACTGTTGAGGTCACTGAGGGGCCTGAGATGAGATGTGAGGCTGGGTGTTCAGTTTTCAAATTACACAAGGATAAAACTGGCACTTAGCTTTATTGTTCCCAATTACATAATGTAATAAAGATTAGTTTCCAAAGCATGGGAACAAAATGTTCCCAGGAAAACTCAGTTTAATGAAGGACTGAGGTGTAAGGAGAGATCTACGTACCCGTGGCGATGACCATGCCCACTTGGGTGTGTTCACAGGTACACAGAATGTATGGGTGGAGGGGGGGGATAAAAGAGCTAAGGGGAGGAGACTCTCTGTCTTTGGGTTTCGGTTGTGACCTGGAGAGACAGCATATGGACCTTTGGTTCTCGGCTTTCTTGTCTTCTCTGTAAGTGATTTCTCCCTCAATAAAATATCATAGGACATCCCTATTTTGTGTAGCTTAATATTTCCACATTACTGAGGAATCTATAATAAGCATGTCCACTGTAATATAGGAATGGAGCATTTAAGGAATTTTAAAAGCACTTTCTTCTTGCTTTGGGTCTAGAGAGGTGGCTCAGTGGTTAAGAACATTGGCTACTCTTCCAGAGAACCCAGGTTTGATTTCACAGTCATCTGTTAATCCAGTCCCATGGGTTCTGACAGCCTCTTCTGGCCTCTAAAGGCATGAGGCACAGTTGTCATGTATAGAGATACCTATAGGCAAACACCCATACAAATAAAACACATTGTTCATCATTTTAAAATTTATTTTACATACCAATCACAGTTTCCCCCTCCCTCAACGCCCCCCATTTGCTCTTTCCCCAGTTAGATGGGGTAAGGCCTCCCATGGAAATCAACTAAGCTGAGGCAGGACTAAGCTCCTACCCCATGCATCAAGGTTGGGCATCTACCATAGGGAATAGGTCCCAAAGAACCAGCTCATTCATCAGGAACAGACTCTGGTCCCACTGCTAGGGGTGGCACAAAAGATCAAGCCACATACACAACTGTCACCAGACACAGAGGACCTAGGGTCGGTCCCATGTCGGCTCCCTAGCTGTCTGTCTAGAGTTCCCCATCACCATTGTGAGCACCACACGGGGCCCCCTGCTCACACAATCCCTCTACCCCCTCTTCAACCAGACTCCCTGAGCTCGGCCCTTGGTTGTGGATCTCTGCCTCTATGTCCATCATATACTGGATGAAGGCTCTATGATGACAACTAGAGCAGTCACCAATCTGATTACAGGGGAAGGCCAGTTCAGGGACCCCCCTCTCCACTATTTCTAGGAGGTAAATTTAGTTTATGGAAAACAACAAACCCCACCAAACTTCTTAAATGTCTTCTATCCAAAACTTCAAATGTTGAAGACAAAAATTCATTAATGTTCAAAGTAATTGACAGAAATAAACTAGTAAGGGAGCTTTGATTTCCCATGTCAACTATTAAATGATACTCATTTTCTGAAAATTTCTGTAAACAGCACCACAAATAACACACTAGAACAACAAAGAAAGAGATCAACTAATAGGACATTAAAAGGGGTAAAGTTCAACAATAAAACAAAGTATAAATAAACATGATACATACATCAATGGAATAAAAGACCCAGATAGAAGTCTGTGCTCCTACAGTCACCAATTTAACTAGGGCCATCTGTATGACCATGACACTGTTAGAACGATACGTTTTCCTCCTCATCAAAACCAAAAGAAATTAGTTAAACTCAAAGATCAGCAAAGGAATATGAGCAGTGTTACTGGAACAAGGCTACTTTCTTTTATTTTTTGTGTGAGGTTGTTTTCTTACTACAGCTTCTGAGGCCTAAAGAGAAAGGAATATTTACCATAATAGTTTACATAAATGGAAAAACGAATCCCCACATAATTCCACCAACAACAACCATCCCAAATCAAAGAAGAATGAGCAATCAATGCTCATTAATATCCCTCAACATTAATGGCCTTAACTCACCCATAAAAAGACACAGGCTAGCAGAATGGATTCGAAGACAGAACCCATCCTTCTGCTGCATACAAGAAACACACCTCACCCTCAAAGACAGACATTACCTGAGAGTTAAAGGTTGGGAAAAAAATTTCCAATCAAATGAACCCAAGAAACAAGCAGGGGTAGCAATCCTAATATCTAACAAATTAGACTTTAAAATAAAATCAATCAAAAGAGATGAAGGAGGTCATTACAAACTCATCACAGGCGAAAGCAACCAAGATGAAGTGTCTATCCTGAACATCTATGCCCCAAATACAATGGCATCCACATTCATAAAAGGAAGATTACTAAAACTTAAATCACATATAAAGCCCCAGACACTTATAGTGGGAGATTTCAACACACCACTGTCACCACTAGAAAGGAATACCAGACAGAAACTCAACAAAGAAGCAAAGGGTCTAATAGAAGTAATGACTCAACTGGGATTAACAGACATCTAAAGAACATTTCATCCATACAAAAAAGAATATACCTTCTTCTCACCACAACATGGAACCTTCTCAAAAATCGACCACATACTTGGCAACATATCAAACCTCAGCAGCTTCAAAAAAATTGGAATAACTCCATGCATTTTATCAGACCACCATGCTTTAAAATTAGAATTCAAGAACAACACAAATTGCAGAAAACCTACAAACTCATGGAAATTGAATAATGCACAACTGCACCATCCCTGGGTCAAAGAAGAAATAAAAAAAGAAATTAAAGACTTCCTAGAATTCAATGAGAATGAAGACACAACATACACAAACCTATGGGACACTTTGAAAGCAGTGCTACGGGGGAAGTTCACAGCACTAAGTGCCCACATGAAGAAACTGGAGAATAGTTATACTAGAGAATTAACATCACAGCTGAAAGCTCTAGAACACAAAGAAGCAAACTCCCCCCAGGAGGAGTAGACACCAGGAAATAATCAAATTGAGGGCTGAAATCAATAAAGTAGAAACCAGGAAAACAATACAAAGAATCAATGCAACGAAGAGTTGGTTCTTTGAGAAAATCAACAAGACAGACAAACCTTTGTCCAAACTTACCAAACAGCAGAGAGTGAACATGCAAATTAACAAAATCAGATATGAAAAGGGGGACATAACAATGGACTCTGAGGAAATTCAGAGAATCATCAGGTCATACTTTGAAAACCTGTACTCTATAAAATTCGAAAATTTAAAGGAAATGGACGACTTGCTGGACAGCTATCACTTGCCGAAACTAAATCAAGAACAGATAAGCAATTTAAATAGACCTATAACCCCTATGGAAATAGAAGCAGTCATCAAAAGTCTCCCAACCAAAAAAAGTCCAGGTCCAGATGGCCTCAGTGCAGAATTCTACCAGAAATTCAAAGAACAGCTTATACCAATTCTTCTCAAAGTATTCCACACAATAGAAGCAGAAGGGTCTTTGCCAAACTCTTTCTATGAGGCTTCAATAACCTTGATCCCCAAGCCACACAAAGATACAACTAAGAAAGAGAACTTCAGACCAATATCCCTCATGAACATTGATGCAAAAATACTCAATAAAATACTGGCAAATCGGATCCAAGAACACATCAAAATAATCATTCACCACGATCAAGTAGGTTTCATCCCAGAGATGCAG